TTATTTCCATATTTTAGGTCAGAGAAATTTAACTCAAATCAGCGTAATTTTTCAAATTTGGTTGAACAGTGGAATTTTAGTGACTAAAATATACTTTTTGAAAATTTCATGGCCGAATGTATATACATCTTTGACTATGGAATATTTTAATGGAAGATAATGCAATGACATTTGATAATTATTAAAGTTCATTAATGGTAAAAAGGGAATTTCTCAACAATTAAATTTTAAATTCAATTTAATTATGTTAAATGCCATGTGTATTATGAATTAATACTAGAATTATCAAGTGACAACAAATTTTTAGCTTTAAAACTCTCTTGGCCGAAACTTCATTACTTGAAGAGGCAAGATTTTATTTTTGTTTTTTGAAGCTATATACTTGATTTTTGGATTAAGTTATTAGATATAGAATTAATATATATGGAATTCTCTATCATTTTGTATAAATATTTCATGGTGAAGATTCTTGTGTGTTGAGGTTGAAAGTTAGGGTTTATATAGGGTTTTTAGAGTTTGAAGATTTGATGAAAGATTATTATGTTTTTTATGTTTGAGATTAATTCTAAGGCATGTGTGATAATTAAAGTGATGTGTAAAGCCTTGTAGTTGATTTAGACTAATTAGGGTTTTAGTGATTGATTTATTTATTTTGGTTCAATTTGATGTTGTGTTGATCAGAATAGCATGAATTTAAAGTAAGGAAGTTGAATTCATGCTTGGAATTGAATGAAAAGTTAGCCTTAAGATCATAGTGAAATTCGACCATTAGGGGAAAATGTTGAAAATTTTCCTATGATATAGAATTGATATTAGAAGTGTTATATATGATTTGGAGATCAATTTGGAGCCTTGAGTTAGTAAAAGGGTTAATATATAAGTATTGCGAATTGTGGGAAATTATTGCAAGAATGTAATATTTCAAGGGTTCAATGCTGATTTTTGATAGTTGAAATGCTGGAAATTTAAAGTTAGAATGTTGATTGGAACCAAATTGCAAGTTTATCAAGTTGTGAGGTTGAATTTGAAAAGTCTAAGAAAGTTTAGGATAAAGTTTAAGCTTTTGGATATTTAAGTGTTGATTTGAATATTTTAGTAAGGTGCTGGAAATTTTATGTAATTAATGTAAAATGATCATAATGGTGAAGGGTCATTATGAATTAAATGGGAAAGTTAATATGAATTCTAAAAAGAATTCATAATTTATGGCTTGATGGTGTAATTGGAAAAACTTAAAGGGTTGATTTTATAGTGGAAATAAATATTCATGGGATTGAATAAGAATTTTGAGAAGTTTGAAAATTTCGATGTTATATCGATTTAAGTATCAGATTTATTTCTATTGAATTTTATATTTAAGTTTAGATTATGTTAGTTTAATACTAACGTACAGTTTGAATATTTTATGTTATTATATAACGTCGTCAGACAACAGTAAATCTAGTAATTCAAGTAGCTTGAAAGGGGAGGAAAAAGTGTGGGATCGAGAAGAATATCATGGAGAAGGTTCAATAGCGAGGCAAAAGTGAGTGCATTTAACTTGTATTTATGTTATCGAACAAACATTGGCTAGTGATGAGTCAATGTTGGAGTTACGTTAAGAAGTGACTCCTAGTGTATGCGAAGTGCGATTCAAACCTATATGTTTATTTGGGAAGCTAATAGAATTAGTGAATAAGTTAAGGATGCAAGTTGGTGAAATCTACCTAGAAATTATGTTATGAACAGTAAGTTTAGAAAATCACCAAAAATTCTAAAAAATAATTAAAGGATGATTTTATATCATTGGATTTGTATATCAGTCTACTTGTGTTTAGAATAAATGGCAAATGATTTCGAAGAGTATACAAAAAGATATGAATTTTTAATCGGTGATAGGTTAGAAAATAGGCAGCAGATTCTTCCCAAAACAACTTCTGTCAGTTAAATTTGAAAATTCGCTATAAATTATACAAGTGGAACTAGACAGAGTGACTTATATGGTTAGATTCATATTAGAGTTTAGTTTTCAATGTTACAAACAAAATAATTTTTCAGTATGTATATTAATACATACTAATATTTCTTTGAAGGTAATGCAAACTACCATAATATGAAATTTTGATAAATTGTGTAATTAAAGCAATTTAAAACAAAGGATTAAGCCTAAAGATTGGAGAAGCTTATATTTTGAATATAAGTAAAGTGTAAAATGAGTGCATTAGTTTATTTAATTAAGTTGATTGAGGACGATTTGTGATAAGTCAACCTCGTATTATTTTAAAGTATATTTTCTATTTTAAATATGAATTATTTATATAATGTTTGCATGAATGTTTTATAAATGGTTAGGGTATGTATTGCCCAAATTATGATTTTTATGAGAATTATATTGGAAAAATGCTATTGAATGGAAATGTTGAATTATAAATGATATGAATTTAAAATAAAGCTCATTGTATATTGCATTGAGAGTCGTAGTACAATTGGCATGTCATGAGGTGGAGTGATTGATATACTGTGGTGTTACCGGTGGGTACACTGGTATATTTTTTATATGATTTCACTTTGTGTGCATGTTATGAATCCGATGTGATAGCACTTTGTGTGCTTATGATATACAGTAGTGTTACCGGTAGGTACACTAGTATATTTCTGATGTGATTGCACTTTGTTTGCATATTATGATTATGATATGATAGCATTGTGTGTGCTAATATGTTTTGATTGAGATGATAGAACTGAAGTGCTTACTGCGCACACTCGTCCTTGTATTCTCTTACATATACATTGGGCTATAAAAGTAAATGTGAAAGTTATGACATAATATGAAATAAATGAACACGGAATTGAAAAGAAAGTTCTGAAATATGTTTGAATAAAAAGAACATAAGTTGTTTATGATAATTTATATTGACTTACATGATTTTTGATAAAATCATGAGATAATGATTTTTTCAGATTTTCAAGATGAAAACAATATGAATAGCCCAGTTTGAAAGTTTTAATGCTTTTATTTAAATTACAGGTTTATGTTATAATATTTTATGAAATTTATGTTTTATCTCATTTTAGCTATATTACTACCTCACTAAGTTTTACTTAGCGAGTAAAAATTTTTATGCGTAGGTTCAAGTAAAGATAAAAACATGAAGTGAAGAGATATCTAAGCATTTTATGCAAGTCAAACCTACCACAGAATCAATAAGACATCCTATCTTTGACTTATTAGTGGCATGTACATTACACTAATGGTATGCTTTATTGAATTTATTTTAAAAGGGTGCATAATAGTAACTATGATTATTTTCTTTAGTTTTGACTAATTTTAGTTTTTAATTGTATTTTTGAATGAATAGTATAAATGTTATATTTTAAATGGTTTTTAAATTAAGCAGTATTTAGAAAGTGATATATAGTTATGATCAGCTCTAAACTTCCTAATAACTAATTGAAATTGGATTTGTTTGCAGTGATTAAATATTCTTTTATGATTTTATACGAATAAGGTAAAAGATTTTAAATTGGAACAATGGAAGTTTAAAAAGAAATGAGATTTTAAGTCTTTATGCTCAGCAAATAATTATCAAGTTGATGTGACATCTGTAGCCCGTATATCGAGACATATATGGGCTATGGGTGTTACACTCGTATCCTTTTATTAGCTTAAAGACACCTCCACTTATTGTTTGAACTTCTTTAGAATGTGTTAAACTACCTTTTCTCTCATCAGGAGAGTTGAGATGCCTCCGCTCCAACAATAGGAAATTGCCCACTACTATAATATGGAGTTGAGATACAAACATATCCTTCACTATCCTACTTAAGGGTATTGTCCTTCTCTTGAGTGTAAGCCTTGAGATACATCGTCAACACAAAAATGATTCTCCTTATCGACCACGTTATACTAAAAAGGGAAATGAGTTGTCTCTATCCCAATAATGGGAGCATTGACGAGAAATAATCATTATATTTTTCATTGGAAGTCTTAAATCAAGTCATTTTATGATATTCCTTTATCCAAAGGGAATAATATGTTATACCTCTAGAGAAGACCCTCTGAAAACTACCAAACTTTCGCCAGTAAAGACGTTAGGAAGACTTCACCCTCTGAAAATCATACTCCTTAATCTTTGACGTGACCTTCGATAGAACCAAATATAATAGTTGGTGACTATTGACAACCATTATGTATAGTCTGACAGCCTACTAACATGCATGATTACCCTATACTTAACACCATCAACTAGAGTCGCTATAAATACCTCTTAGCTACGACTGAAAGATAAGACAACTCCACTTTCTTCTCCTACTCCATTCCCCCTTATGCTTCCATCTCCATCATAGAGAAACATCAACCAACAAGCATTATCTCACCGACTGCAACTCTTCATCCAAACCAAAAGGGTTGAACCGCCAACGGTCTATGAAACAAACTTGTTCCCATCAATAATGATATATTTATAATTCTTGTAATAATATGATAACTCATTTGTAATCTTGCTAATAATTGAATGGCTTACGGTGTAGTTTACCTAATAAGAAAAAAATTGCTTCATGTCTTCTAATGGTCATTTCATTAACGGTTCAATGAAATGTTTGTTACAATGGATTAATTGAATGATTCATTTATACCTTTCTAAAACTAGATAAGTCAATTATAATCTTATTAATAATTAAGTGATCTATAATATAATTTACCCAATTAGATCAATAATCCATCATTTAATCTTTCAAAATAAAAATTATAAAATTCCAATCCCTCACATCCATGAATTGATCATCATATCATTAAATCAAATATATATTTCCACTAATTAATCCTTATATTTTTCCCCAAATTATGTTTTGATTATATAATCCGATTAAACCGAATCCACGTCCAGTTTGACTTTTTATTCATTGGTTATAGCCCAATTCGGGACTAGATCCAAGTAGTATTATACTGAGAACCAGGAGATATGATATGAAAAAGACCAAACAACCCTTGGAACACCCTGCATCTCCCTTGTATAAATAAAGCTCCAATTCACCTGGAGGAAACACACCTCTCAGGCTCTTTCTCCGTCGCTTCATCGTCGGATCCTCTCATATCGCACTCGCCTCCGCCGTTAGATTCAATCCCCATATCTCTTTTCAAAAACAAATTCTTTTTTTAACTTGCCATCTTGATTTTTGCAGGGGTTTTAACGAACTATCAAACAAAAAGAGATGAGGGAGATCCTTCACGTACAAGGCGGGCAATGCGGGAACCAGATTGGATCCAAGTTCTGGGAAGTGGTTTGCGATGAGCACGGCATGGATCCCACCGGTCGTTACACGGGAAACTCCGATCTCCAATTGGAGCGCGTCAATGTTTATTACAACGAGGCTTCCACCGGAAGGTATGTCCCGCGTGCCGTGCTCATGGATCTTGAACCGGGAACCATGGATAGTGTCAGAACCGGGCCTTATGGACAGATCTTTAGGCCCGATAATTTCGTGTTCGGTCAATCGGGAGCTGGTAATAATTGGGCTAAGGGGCATTACACCGAAGGAGCTGAGCTTATTGATGCTGTTCTTGATGTTGTCAGAAAGGAAGCAGAGAATTGTGACTGTCTCCAAGGTATAGTTGTTCTTGATGTTGATGCTTTAAAGTTTCTCAGTTATTCGTTTGATTATATAAAAAAATAGAAATTGGATCAGTATGGTTAGCAAACTCAAATTCATTTATTGAGGATTCTAAGTATATTTGGCAATGGATAATGTAATAATGCATACGAAAATGGCCTGGTAGATATGAAAATTTTAAACGCAGAAGTTTCTTTTCGTTTTAGTAATTACGTTGGTTGTTTACTGTTTCTTTCATTTTTGGCTTTTGGGTTCTTTTATATACGAATTTATTTGTTTGTCCAAATAGGTTTTCAAGTTTGCCACTCTCTGGGAGGTGGAACTGGTTCCGGTATGGGGACCCTGCTGATCTCAAAGATCAGAGAAGAATACCCTGATCGAATGATGCTCACTTTCTCTGTCTTTCCGTCACCAAAGGTTTCGGATACGGTGGTTGAGCCATATAATGCTACTCTTTCTGTTCATCAGCTCGTCGAAAACGCGGATGAGTGCATGGTGTTGGACAATGAGGCATTGTATGATATCTGTTTCAGGACCCTCAAGCTAACGACCCCTAGCTGTAAGTTCCTATTATCTGACTTGATCTTAGTATATAAGCTTTTATGTGTTGGATTAACTTTTTGGAAGGTGTTTCAGTTGAATTGATTTTAGTCTCTGCCTAAAGTTTTCTCCTTGTCATGGTTCTATGTTTGGTTTCTTTCCAAAAGATTATCCAATCATTCATCTTACTGGAATTGGTGATATTAGAGGGAACATGATGATTATTTGGGCCTAATATTTGAAGCATATTAGTATATATTCTTTCTCCGATTTTCAGTTATCTTGCATTTATCATGCACAAAGACGGGGGATGCATGGCATTCATAGTCTTTTGATATGCTAATCTGGACAGTAGTTTAGGCCTCTCCCATTCTACATTGCCTGCCACAAGGTTATTGCTGAAGTAACCTTTTATTGTTGGTTGTAACAGTTGGTGATTTGAACCATCTGATCTCTGCAACCATGAGTGGTGTCACATGCTGCCTTAGGTTCCCTGGCCAGCTCAATTCCGACCTCCGGAAACTAGCTGTGAACCTCATTCCTTTCCCTCGGCTCCACTTCTTTATGGTTGGGTTTGCTCCGCTCACCTCAAGGGGATCTCAGCAGTATTGCGCGCTAACAGTCCCGGAGCTCACTCAACAGATGTGGGATGCGAAGAACATGATGTGTGCTGCGGACCCAAGACACGGTCGATACCTCACGGCCTCAGCCATGTTCAGGGGCAGGATGAGCACCAAAGAGGTGGACGAGCAAATGAATAATGTTCAAAACAAGAACTCGTCGTACTTTGTCGAGTGGATTCCGAACAATGTCAAGTCCAGTGTGTGTGATATTCCGCCCCAGGGGCTGTCCATGGCATCTACCTTCGTCGGCAACTCAACCTCCATCCAGGAGATGTTCAGACGAGTGAGCGAGCAGTTCACCGCTATGTTCAGGAGGAAGGCTTTCTTGCACTGGTACACCGGTGAAGGAATGGATGAAATGGAGTTCACCGAGGCCGAAAGCAACATGAATGACCTTGTATCTGAATATCAACAATACCAGGATGCGACAGGTGACGAGGAACTTGAATACGAGGATGAAGACGATGAAGGCTACGAGATGTGAGAGATCTAAAAGGTTGTATGCCACTTTAATATGAGAAAAATGCTTGTCTGTATTTTGCTCTTCATGTTGGCATTCCAACCTTGTTATATTCGTTTTGAATAATGAAGATTGGTTTGGTAGTATTGACTATATCTCTTTGTTTCTTGGTATCGGTTAAAGTAGGTGCTATTCATTTTACTTTTGTTTTCGGTTGATAATATAACATATTTCATCTTTATGTAAAAGATAATGAACACATTGTAATAAGTATGAGTGAGGTTTCGATCGAGTCGAGCTAAAAAATTTCGAGTTATTTGAATTGACGAGTCATATTTTACAACTCGAAGTTGACTTGAATTTTTTTTTAGTCGAGTTAGGTTTATAAAATTCGAGTCGAGTTTTCAAATTTATGTTTAAATTTAATTGTAAATATTTATAATATTAAGTTATTATTTGATTCTAATTTAAATGATTTTTTATAACCATATAAAATACATATATTTTTTTCCATATTTTTTCAGATGTGATATACATATATCATACAATTTGATATACTCGGCTCAAACTTAAAAATTAATCCACTAATTACTAAAAATTTCGATTTATTCGAGTTATTGTTCAAGTTGTATTTTACAATTAGGTACGAACTTGAAATTTTACGAGTCGAATCGAATTTATGAAATTATAGCTCGAAGTCAATTCAAGTTGAATTTTCTCGAGTCGAGTCAAGTTTTACTCACACCTAGTAGTAAGTACTTCAAAAACACTAGGGTTTATATCACAAATAAATATTTAAAAGAATATAATATCTAAAATATATTTTTAATCAATATGAGTATCTAAAATTATCATTTTAGTCGAAATAAGTATTTAGAATATTTTTTTGGATTAAAACAAGTACCTAAAATATACTATTTTTTCGTTCAAGTAGTCAAAGTATTTTTTTGATTAATGTCTTGTGTTAAATTTTTAGGATTTAAATAAAAAAAAGTCAAATATTTTATGTACATATTTTGATTAAAATTATTAGGTAACTATTTTGATTAAAATGAAAATTATATGTATTTATTTTGATTAGAAAATATTTTAGATATATTTTGATTAAATATTTTAGAATTTAAATGTAAACAATAGTAATTTTTAAGTACTTATTTGTGATATAAGTCAAATAATTAATTAACTGATTAATGTAATTTCGATTCAATTAACTAAATTAAAACTTCCTAAATTCCAAATGCCTTTGATTTTTTTTCAAACAAATTAAAAGGACAGGCATAAGAATGATTTTCTTCCAAATAAATTGAACAAAGTTACAATCATTTACTATGAAGTTAATGTTGAGTGAAAAAGGTTCAATTACTTTGAGAGAATAAAAAATATTTTTTTTAAATTGATGCTTATTAAAGCGGTCCTTCAGTCCCTTCCAACCTACCAAATGAGTTTGTATGCTCTTCCTGCTTTTCTTTGTCGTGAATTGAATTCAGTCATTGCACAGTTTTGGTGGCGTTCGGATGCTTCTACACGAGTTATCCATTGGCTTGGTATGTCGGAGCGCTTACCAAAATCAATTGGAGGCTTGGGTATACGAGATTTGGAAGTTTTAAACCAAGCATTCTTGTGTAAACAAGGGTGGAGTTTAATTCATGAATCCAATTCCTTGGTTGCTTGGGTTCTTAAAGCAAAGTATTTTCTGCATGGTTCCTTTCTAACTGCTGAGTTAGGGTCGCAACCAACTTTTTGCTGGCGAAGCATTTGGTCTGTTCGGGGTGTGGTAAAAGAAGGTCTGCGGGCACAGGTAGGCGACAGAACAACCATTCCGGTTTACTCTTACTGGGTACCTCAGTGTACACCAGCGGAGTTACTTCATTCTTGTGTGGCCCCTAACTGCTTGACCTGGGTATCTGACCTGATCTATCCTTCTTTGGGAACTTGGCGGACTAATGTTGTTGAGACTCTTTTTCAGGCGCCCGTGGCTCGGGCCATCTTATCGATTCCATTGCATGTGGATTGACGACCGGATCGTCTAGTTTGGAGGTTGAAGCATCATGGTCGTTTCACTGTACGGCGTGCGTACAACTTCCTCCTCGACTTCGACTCACTCTGACCGAGTACAGAGGCCACGGATATGGGATTTTACAAAAAGCTTTGGTCCTAACCCCTTCCTGAGAAGGTTCGGATTTTTATTTGGAGGGCGTCCCGTAATCTTCTTCCATGTCTGGTCAACCTATATCAGAAGCATATGGTCATCGACCCTATTTGCTTTCGATGGGGGTTGAACAAGAAACAGTTTTGCATGCTCTTCTTGATTGCCACCGGTTGCATTTGACGTGGAGTCTATTTGGTTGGGCTCAGTTTACTCAGGATTATGTTTTGGATTTCCGGGATTGGATGTTATCAGAGCTGCCTCATCTCTCCATGTCTGACACAAATAGGCTTTTCTTGCTTCGGTGGTCTATCTGGGGGGCTCGGAACTGTCAATTATATCAGGGCCACATTTCTTCCGATGTGGAGATTCATGGGTTTGTGAATAACTATCTTCTAGCTCTCTTCAGCGTTGCTCCAGCCGAATGTTTTTGTTGCACCCATTGTTAGGGTTTGGTCTCTTTCCCCGACTGGTTTCATCAAGGCCAATGTGGATGGTTCTTTTGACTGAAGATCGGGATTGGGCGGAATTGGCTGTGTGTTTCGCAACTCAGATTGTAATTTTTTGGCGGGCAGCTCAAGAGGGATCCCACACAGGGATTTAAATAACGTTCGCGGTCGCGTTTTCGATCGAGTCGCTTTTATTACGGTTACAGATATAATAGATATCATCGCGGTCACTGTGGATGTCGCAGTTGTGAATTTTTTTAAAAAAAATTCATACAATTTACCCTAAAACATAATAATAATTATAATTATAATATTAAGTAGTGACTAAAATAGTAGCAATCTAAAAGTTTAATGAGTAAATTTAAAAATTTTAAAGTTCACTGAGAAAATAGGAGAGAATAGAAAGTTAAGTGATGAATTATGTAGTTTATCATAATTAAAAAGAATAGAAAGTTAAGAAACCCGAACCACCGTTCAGTCATGTGCCTTCTCTAGCTATCTCTTACCTCCTTCTCTTGCCATCTCATACCTCCTTTTCCCACTACTTCATCCCACCATATTTTTTTCCTTCCCCCAAACAAATGGATCAAATGGGTTTCACTAGATCGTTATATTAAACCAAAATTCTCTTTTATTCTATGATTTTTTCAATCCACGTAAAATGGAGGAAGCAACCACTCCAGTGTAGTGGTTTTATACTTTCATTTTTCTCCGATTTTTGACTCCTCGTCTCCTACCCTATTTCCTCTTTGACCTCCACTCTTTAATCGTTTATTTTCTCACGGGCCACGTCTGAAGTTTGGTCGATTGAGCACATCTCTTTCTCTTTGGCCTCCCTGCTTCTGCTTGTTCTTTTTTTTGAAGTCACGGTTGAATAACGGGGATAACATCCCATTATCGACGCTATTTACCGTTAAACGCTAAATTACGGTCACGACGGACCGCTATTAATATGAATCCGTTACCCACTGCAAAAATCATTTAAACCGATTTCGGACGGCCGCTATCGTGTTTTCAGTCCGTAATTTGAAACCCTGATATCGCATGCCATGGATGCTTTTCATGTGGAAGCCTTGGCTTGTTTGGAAGGGCTTCTCTTGGCAAAGCGATTTGGATACAGGCGTATTGTGGTTGAGGGGGATTCACTCTCTGTCATCTCCAAAGCTATTTCATCCCAGGTTGACTTCTCGTTTGGTGGATGTATTATTGATCATATACGGACTCTCGCAACGAACTTTGAGCAGTGTACGTTTCAGCATGTGGATCGGACTGGTAACATGGTAGCTGATGTGTTTGCTCGTGAAGGTTTACAGCTTGGCTCTCCTATGTGCTGGATGGGAAATCCACCTGAGTTTTCGATCTCTTTACTAGACAAAGAAAATGCTGTTTGGTTGCTTACGCCTTTTTTCTATGTTTGGTTTCGTATAGGGGCTTTATTTTGTGTGAAACTGACTTTAGCATGGGAATATGATATTATTTTTTCTTCAATAAAAATATATTTTTTAAATATTAGAAAAATAAACGTGAGAAAGGAAAATAAATCCATAAAAAAACTTAAATATATATATATATATATTAAAAAAATATGTGTCATGCGTCAATTATTAATTTGTTAATACATGTCATATTTAGGGGTGAACAAAAATTGACTTAACTCGAAAGTCGATATTTTTTAACTTGAATTGACTATTGAAAACTCGACTCGAATTAACTTCGAGTTGTAATTTCATAAACTCAATTCTAATCGAAAAAATTTTAAGTTTAAATCGAATTGTAAAATACAACTTGAATAACTCAAATAGTAACTTAAAATTTTTAGTAATTTTTAAATTAATTTTCAAGTTTTAATTCAATCTCTCAAATTTGTTTTTGATAAAATAGACCCAAAAAAATGTCCCGAATTACAAAATTACCACCTTAGGAAGTCTATTTCTATTCTCTATCAGCTTGAAGAATTGCTGCGATCTCTCTTGTGGTTCGTCGAGTTCATGTAGGCCCTCAGACTTCCAAAGTGCCATTTTCGCCAATGAATCTGCTGCTCTGTTCCCTTCTCTCTAGATATGATTTACTTCTCGAACTCATCCCTCTTTTATTAATTTTTTCAATCGTTAAGGATAATATCCCTTTGCATGTTCTCGCTTTCTTCCTTCTTCAGATAATCGATCGCCTATTTCGCATCAGATTCCAAGATGAGATTTCTCAGACCGATTTGTTTGGCGATGAGTAGACCCTGTCGAATGCCCCAAATCTCCGCCATTTCGCTGCTAGTATTTCCAATATTCAACATGAACCCACGGAGCCATATGCCGTTTTTATCTCTAATCAGACATCCTGCAGCGGCCATTCTAGATCTGGAGATGCATGCTCCATCAGTGTTTAACGTCCAGTAGCCAGAGAGGGGTTTTCTCCAATGGATCCACTTCGATTCTCTGGTAAGTTTCTGGTGTGAGTTTTCGGTTGCATGTTTAATTTCACTTGCCAAATTGTACCTCTGGTTGTAAATTTGTTTGGGATCATTGCTTGTGTTTCTGAAGACGATTGTGTTTCTATTCTTCCATAATCCCCAAAGTAAGGTTAAGAATGAAGTACCCCAGCTAATATCGTTCTGATCCAAGATCTTCGAGTTACTGTTAACTTTAATCCTCTATTTGAAGTTTCTGTTTTCGAATTGATCATCGAAGGTTGCTGCTTTTGCTTCTTTCCAAACGTCTTAGAGAGAAGAAAGTGACGAAGAATATGTTCAATAGATTCCACTGTGTCACTACAATTCTTGCAATCTAGATTTTGGGTCATGTGTTTTCTGCCCCTAATTTCATTTGTGTTTAGCCTGTTCAGCCAAACTAGCCATAGAAATACTTTTATCCTCTGTCGTTTCAAGCTTCCATAGCTAGTCTAGCTTTTGACTAGTTTGTGGTTCAATTTCTCTCTCGCTGACTTTCTTGAAGGCTGAACTAACTGAAAAGCTCCCATCCTTTGGGAGTGGCCCCAGATTATTTTGTCTTGATTTTCGTAATTATCAACAATCTGTAAGGGAATGCTTCGAATACTATTAACAGTATCTTCTGGATAATATTTTTTTGAGCTCTTTGTTGTCCCAGTTTCTGTCAGGAGTGATGAATTTATTTACTAATTCCTCTTCATCTTCGATTTGACCCACATAGTTGGTCTTCAGATCCGATTTTCCCACCCACCAATCTTTCCAAAATCTCGTTTGATTACCCGAGTAGATAATATGCTTTGACCCTCTGTTAATCACCTCCCTTGTTTTTAGGATTCCTTTCCAGGTCGATGAAGTGTTTCTGTTTGAATACTCAACACCAAAGAAAATTCTGACCGGTCCTCATTTTGCAGCCATTTTTGGACATCAGAGCAAGATTCATATATTTTGATTTCCTAATCCCTAGGCCTCCATCACTTTTGGATCTGCACACCGTTTCCTATTTCATGAGATGGTTATGGGAGTAGTTCATTCCTCCACCCCAAAGAAAATTACAGTTTAGTCTATCAAGCTTGTTTAAGATCGAATTTTGGATCATCGTTGTTTGCATGGTATAAACGGTAATGTTGCTATAACCGATTGAACTAAGGTTCTTTTACTTGCTAGGGATAGCACCTTGCTCTTTCAACCAACCATTCTTTTCATAACTTTCTCCACTAATGGATCAGAAGTCCGAGTCTTATTTATTTTAATGCCTTGTATTCGATTCATTTTCCTTTTGATTTTTGTGGTTAGATGGAAAAATCTGGTATTTCTTTCACCATTGATTAACCACTCAATTCTTAATTTTTGGAGCCATAAAAGTTCTTGTTTCATTGTGTGTTGATACTCAGAGAGAAGGCTTTTTCCAAATCTTGGAGTCTTGTCGAATTAAAATAATTTGGGGCTTTTTGAATCTCTTTTAAACGATTATGAATATTTTGTTTCTTTTCAAATATGTTTTCCACAATAGTCTCTTTCCATTTGAGAATATCTTTCACCACTTCAGTGTTGGCCTCTGCAATCAAATGATTTGTCCTTTCCCAAGCCTTGTTAAACATTATTTGAAAGTCGGGGTAGTTTAACCAAATAGCTTCAAACCTGAACGACCTTTTGGTTTTATCGAGTTGAATATTAGGCTTCATATATATCAGAATAGGATGATGATCTGAATACTATTGCACCAAATTGAATGTTGGGGGACATATCAAACATATCTACATTAAGTAACATTTTGTCGAGTCTTTCTTGGATTGAAATTTGACTATTGATCTGACGAACCCAAGTAAAATTATAGTTGGAGAAGCATGCATCTAACAACTTACAATTATCCTATCGTTCTTGAAACTTTAAAATATGGTTGATACTATTGTTTTTTCATCCTTTTTTCTCTTCCAAAGAAATGACATCGTTGAAGTCACTGATAACCATCCAAGGCATGTTAACAGAGTCTGAATAAACAAGATTTTCTCATAACTTAGATTTTTCCATAGTTGTGAGGTTGGACATACAACAACGAGGCAAGCCATCTTTTTCGATTCTATTCGAGTTCACAGGGGATCATTATAACACCCCGAAAGTCAGGTTGGTAATTTCAGGTCTTATTGTTGGGTTTCAAGTAATTTCTTAAGGCTAAATTAAATCAATTGGGTCAAAGGTTTAGGCTTGTAAGAAGCCCACAAAGTGATAAAAATGTCATTTTTTATTTGGGTTTTACAAAGGAATGACCAAGAAAAAGAATTTTACCATTGTTTGAAAATAAGGTTTAATAGTAATTAAAGATGGTGATGTAAATGGGGGGTGAAAATCAGCAGAAAATGACTTTTTTTACTCCACCTTTGTCATCACCTTCCTTTTCAATTTTGCGAACTTTATTATTCTATAGAGCTAGTCCGGTTTTAAAAAGGTAAGAAAGATAATCTTCATCCTTAGAGTTTCATATCTAGCTCAAAATGTTGAGCTTTGGCCATGGTAGCCAAAGTATGAATTTTTGAGAGGTTTTAGTTTTAGGACTTAGATGATTCTAACTTGTTCCTAAATGTTTAGAAACATTTAGGAACACTTAGAGGTCTAAAATCGAGATTTTGATCCTTTGTTTGCTTTGGTTAGTGAAAGAATGTGGTGAGTGCTCTCAAGTTAAGAGCAAGGAGAAATTGGTGTTTGGGTGACCCTTAGATCCTTCTTACATCATTTAGAGCTAAGGTAACACATGAATAACTCCCCTCTACATCATGTTGGTCAGAAAACTATTGTTTGCTTGCTTGATGAATTTACATGCTTAAAACGAGCTTTGATGGTAACATGCATGTTTGATTTTTATGTTGTGTTTAAATGGCTCATTTTGGTGTTAAATAATCCCTCAAAACTTAACAAACCTTTGGTAGCCTTAATGAGGCTGATTAGGGGCTTTGGGAAGTCATTTTCGTGCCTAAACAAAGCACCCAAGACCGTCAGTATGGGTAATGTTCATACAATACTAATATTGTTCTTCATAAAGGACGAAAATAAGGTATTTTTTTAGAATTGTTGAGTTAATTGATCGACGAAATAGCCAAGAGGGGGTGAATTGACAATAAAAATTTTGGTGGAAGCTTTTGCAGAAAATTGAAAATATTTGCACAGCGATTTAGAGTGGTTCGACTTTCTCAACCAAAGCTTACGTCCACTACCTTAGCTATCCACACTAAGGATTTTCCAACAAATTCACTAATTTGTTCTTTCTTTTGAGTACAAAGAGTAACCTTACAACTCCCTCAAGAATTATATCTCAAATTCTTGAGAACACTCTCTCCCAAAGAGAAATACACAAATTTGCAAACTTACAGAAAAACCTCACAAGGTAAGATGTTTGTGCAATTCTAAAATAAAGAAATAACACTAAAAAATGAATACAATTGAGCACAATAAGTTTTATTGAAAGCAAAAATGAGCATTGAATGAAAATTTGGCTGGGAATGCTCAAACTTGAGGTTTGATGTTTTCTCTTTGATTCTATAGCTTCTCTTCTTAATTGTTGTTGATCAATAGCTCATAAGCTTGTTTAAATACACCTTGAATCACTTCTGAACGTTGGGGATCATTGGTGAAGTCAATAGAGTTGTTAATGTGTGAAAACAATTAAATAAAATAGTTGGGAGCGTGTGTGCATCGATGCATAGCCAAGGTGCATCGTACACTATGTGTAAAATTCAAATATTTCGACCGTTATAAGACTTAATGCATCAGTACACTAGGGGTGCATCGATACAATAATTACATTTGATGTTTCAAAGAGCCAGGAGTGCCTCGATGCATGGTTTGTGCATTGGTACACAAAATACATTCGATGTTTCAAAATTTTCAGGAGTGCATTGATGCATAGCTTGTGCATCGGTACAAAAAATGCATTCGAAATGGGTGTGCATCGATTCATCATGGAGTGCATCGGTACATCCCTTTGGAAAATTAATTTTTGGCTCGATTTTGGTTTGAAATACTTCGTAAAAAAATTTCAAAAAATATATTAAGTTTAAAACACAATTATACACGTTAGTAAGGATTGAAATTGATCTTTGAAAAACTTGGAGTAATATTTTGATATTCGAATAATTAAATCGAATATTCTTTAAAAATGATTTATAAAATCTTAAAATTCAATAACACTTAATTTGTTATATCGAAACTTAAAAGTGTTTTCAACAAACTCCCCCTTTTTGATATAACAAAACATTTGAGTAATTTTAAGATTTTCTTGGAAAATCATTTTTGAAATTAATTTTTGAAATTACAAATTACTCCCCCTACTATATTCTCCCCTTTTTGCTAAATAAAAAAGACTCTAAAACGTTTTTAAACAAGGTTTTTTTTTTTGAAAACTTAGCCAATGGACATTTAGAAATTTAAAACTTAAGCTGCTAAGATCACAAGTAAGAGAAAGGTTAACCATTAGTTCCATAATTCAATATTTATAAACAATGTGTAATGGTAAATTGGTCATATGTATAATAATGCAAAAACGTAATAAACATTAAGCTAAAATTAAAAATTCAATCAAACCAAATATATAAATATAAGTTCAAACATCCAAACATCCATAACAAATTTAAACATGCAAAATAAAAATATCCAAAAACATCAATCCACAATCATCCAAAATATTTTAACAATAGGCACTAAATCTAAGAAAACTAAAGCAAGATAGGTCTAGTCATCCAAAGGAGGATCTGGAGGAGGAGGATAACGTGCTCGCATCTCGAGTATGAGCGCAGCTAAACGTTCGTTCATCTCCCGTTGTTGTGCCCCAAAGCAATTAAATGAGACTCTATGGATGCAAACCTTAGATCAAATGACTCCAAAAACGATCGAAAATATGGAGGCATTTGATCCTCTTGCTGTGTTGGCTCGTCCGCGGGTGCTTCATCGTCAATATCGTCAATATCTTGCATAAGTTACTGAAGCTCTTGATCATCATCCGCT